AATAATATTTGCAGCACAAAAAACATAAGGATCATAAATAGAGGAGTACTAGGGGCACTCGCCTTCTACACTCTCCGGCGAACACTTTCACTTTTATTGGGCCACGTTATTCTGGTCGGTCAGAGGTTGCGCTTCAATGCCGGAAACAAGCTTACGTGGCCCAATAAAAGGGGAAGTGTTTGCCGGAGAGTACAAGAGGCGAGTGCCCCTAGCACTGCCATCATAAATAACATCAGGAAAAGAAAAATGGGGAAAAGTGACAAACCCTAGCTTTGAATCATCGGATTGGGATAAAACTGATGAAACTACTCATCTCCTTGACAATTGATTAAGTTGAAACTGAAAATCATCCTTACGCAGGATAACACTATTTATCTCCTTGATAGGTTCCCCAATCGGTCGGGATGAAACCGATTCCTTGTTTCCGGCGAGAATACGATTCATCTGATTGTCAGGTTCTAGGATCGAAGAGGACTGAAGTGAATCCTCCCAGTAGAGAATATCATCCTAGATCGGACCGATATGATCAAGGAAAGATGCTTTTATCGGTAAAGAGCATGAAGCCCAAACAAATTTTCCATAATCATTGATGCTCAGCAAATTGCTTGGAAGTTGAATTGATGGAATCCCATGAGATTGGGATGAAATCGAATCTTTCTTCTCCTTCTCTTCCTGGTTTTTGATTTCCATGATCGACTATAATAGCTTGTTTGATTTTAGAGAAGGGGAGGGAGGAAGATAATTTCCTTATTTAGTTAACAAAAAGAGTTTTTTGCCTATAGAACAGAACATAACTCTTTTCTTTTTGGAAATCTCTTTTCGTCAAATTCAATTTAAGATCCGAATTTGAGATTTTTAAATTGAAATATTAAGTTTTTAATCACTAACTTACTCATTGAAATTAACAAAAAGTTAATTATAGGGGAGAAAGAAGAGATTTTCATTATTTATTCGTTTCTTATTTTTTTTATTTTAATTTAATCAAACAAGATGTTTATTAAAAGGGTTAATTAAATACGGTTTTCATTTCTCTCAAGTTAAAGATGGAGTAAGGGTTAATTAAAATGGTTTGTTTATTCTGCATTTTAAGAGTATGGGATGAAAATTAATAATTAAACAAAAATTGTGATTTTTTAAAATATGAAATTTTAAATTAAAAATAATTTCTGTTTTATAATTTAAAATAAACTAATAAAAATTTAACAAATAGCATCTATAATTAAAACAATAGTCAATTTTATCACTTTTAATATAAAAAGTAGTAATATTAATCAATAGGAAAATAATGTGTGCACACCCGGATCCAACACTCGGTGTGCACATATCATATAAAAAAAAATGTCCATCACCCGATTCTATTTTTTTTTTATGTGGGGCGTGCATACTCGGATGTTGGATCCGGGTGTGCACCAATCATTGTCCTAATAAATAATTACTTTTTATCTTATGCCATGAAAGTATAGGATAGATAAACCTTAATTCAAATAAACGTGAGTTTAATTTTAGATTTGCCAAGAAGATTTGAACTTAATTCTGAATTTTTTAATACCAGTGAAATATGACTAAAGAGTTGTGATTTAATTGATAAAAAGATTAACTCTTGCGTATGATTGGAGGTTTGATTCTTTTGGGAATGGGAAGATAATTTTTTAATGAATTTTTTAATTTTAATATGGATAACTTATCTTTAATCAAATTGAAAAAAAATTAATTTTAAAGTATGTGTAAAGCACTCGAAAAACACCCTACTTGTTAAAAATAAAAAATCAATGATATTGCATAAGAGATTCATATTTTATGTGATAAACTGTATATGAAAAGTATAATTTGCATTATAAATTTATTTAAATATTCTTAATGACATAGTATAAAAAATAATTTTATTACAATTTTTTAAATAAATTCATCAAAAACTACATTTTTAAAACACAATTCACCATATAAAATACATTGTTGATTGCACAAATAGGGACATATAACAAATTAATTTGCACATTATCATATAATATTTTTTTTGGTACATATATTATCATAAAATATTCATAAAGGAAAAGATTCAGCATTCCTTGTACACATTGATCCATCAAAGTAACAACCAATTTTTTTTTTTAATCAATCTAGTAATCATCATATAAAATAAACACTACAGTTAGCAAATCGAAACTCAATTGGTCTGACTGAACCTAAGTGCACCCGTATGGATTCTGCACGTCGTGCAGGCCGTATAAACCAACCAGTGGCTTGAGGGAACTGCACAATAATCTCTTCATCATCACCCACCACATCCACGTCCCTTGCAGT